ATACACACCTTATACACAGTTTGTTTGACTACAAAAACAATAAAATCAGAAACATTGTCATGTTTTGCAGCCACATCCCTTCATGTCTGTTAGTAAAGTTAGTTGAAAACATTCAAATTCAAACTAAATTGGACACAAACTATCCATCCATCCATTTTCTTTACCCGTTTATTCCATTTTGGGTCACGGGGGTCGCTGGTGCCCATGTCCAGCAATCACTGTGCGAGGGGCGGGGTACACCCTGGACGGGTCTCCAGTCCATCACAGGGACACATAGAGACAAACGAGACAAACAACCATTCACTCTCTCATTCACACCTAGGGACTGGACACAAACTAGCTAAATCAAAAATGACCTTTATATTTTTGTATAACATTTTCTGGTCCTGTTGTCTACTCAAATCACTTTACAGTTACATCAACACGTTGTCACAGCACTTCACTATTTGCACAAAGTGCTTGTCCAGAAACTCTCACACTGATGATGCATTAAAGGTGTTACGTGCAATGCACATTGGCCTTAATGTTTTGCTTTAATAGATATTGTTTGAGTGAAGTTAATCAGCCTTTAATTGTTTTGGGCTGTGGCCTTTTCTGCCCGCCCATAAATAGGCTGGTTTTGTGGAGCTCGCTCTCTCTTGGGCTCACTCTGTTTTTTTGGTACTTTCTGAGACGCACCGTTTTTGAAATCTCTCCCTTTGTCCTGGAGCTGTGGACATGGGAATTGGGGGTTCTTAATCATCTTTTTTTTTCTTCCCTTTTTCAGGAAGCAGCGGCTTTAATAAACTGAAAGTTGAACCCTCATTTTTGTCTCATGTCCTCTTTAATATGTTGTGCCCTTGGTGGACGTAACAAAAAGTAATTAGGGTTTTAACACTGCCAACAACCCAGTTAGTGAACAACCCGCTGTACTTCCTGCACTCCTTTCACCCAGACAAACTTTCATTGGTTCTAGCATGCATTTTTAAATGCATCCACTAAAATACTTATTGACCTATCAGTTTGAAATACTTTGTTCAAACAAAAGCAGTTGATTTCAGCTTGTGCACAACCCTTCCTTATTGCTGTGATACTCAAGGCTACAAACAAACATCTTTTCAGGTGCCAAAAAATCTTCTCATGTTTGATTTCTCAACTTGACAATTTATGCACGCAATCATGACTTCAAAAAGACTCCACATTCAATAACTTCCTGTACAGATCTGCAAATGCAAGACCTTCATTGCATAAATGGTAAATGGACTGTACTTATATAGCACCTTTCTATCTTATCAGATACTCAGCGCTTTACAACACGTGTCCTCATTTACCCATTCATACAGCTCTCTACTAGATCTCTACAAAGCTGATTGAACAAATCATTCTAAAGAGACTAATCAGAGATTTATCACATTCATACACTGATGGGACACACATCAGAGGCAATGAGGGGTTCAGTGTCTTGCCCAGGGACACTTCGGCATGTGACTGCTGGTGGATTTGACTAATTTATAAAAACTGTGACTCTGAATCACCATTAACACACAAACATGCTAAAATTATAAAATATTCTTTCCAACAAACCCTGTGTTTGTGCTCACTTACACAAAGTCAAAGGGGCTGTTGGTGATGAGGAACATCTTCTTTCCATGAGCTGACAGCTTCTTTAGCACAGCTTGGCTTTGCTCACCGTAACAAATGTATTTCTCTGGAAAGAAAAAACCACAACAGTTGCTGGTCAGTCTTTATTTGTATATCATAACCTCGTCATGCCTGTATCACGTTTTTATGCCTTGCCAATAACCCAGATGTCATCATACATGTTAGATGTGTTTCAAAAGGATTTTACCCATATCGGCCTCCACAGCTCGATACATGATGCCCTTGACGTGAACATCTCTGATAGCTTCCTGTGAGGAGGAGAAGTAAAACAGGCCTCAGCCAAAACGTCACAACATCAAAGACACACCATTAGCATTCAGCACTGACAACAACTTTACCCTGTACATAAACAGGAACGTGCCTCTCTGAATACAAATGAAACAAGAAGACAGCTGGAGGTAAGACATCATGTTGTCACAGTGGAGAACCTTGGAATCAAGCCTCCCTGGTTAAAGGCTGCACACTTAGGATCATCATCACGCACAAAGACCATCAGACGCAATGAAAGTTTAGTGGGAACCAAAGGTTTAGAAAAGGCATTGGTCAATATAGAATTATGAAGCAGGAGACAAAAAAATGATTAAATACTGAATCTCTGGGAGGATATGAGAGCGATTCTTCAAACAGAGCATGTGTGAGAGCTGTTAATGACAGCTATCTGTCAGAGACGCCGCAGCTCCACACAGTAGACAGTAAGAGTGTGACAGCTGGCCTCAGGGGGACCACACAGCGCACATTTCTCACCACTTCCTGTGAAGTAGCAGAGCCACATGGCTTTTTTTTTTGGGGGGGGGGGGGGGGCGCAGAGTGGTCGGCTAAAATTAGATGCTGCTTTTCAGCGCTAAAATTACGATGGCACTGAATGATCGGAGTTCACTGTACACTGCAACATGTAAACGCATCGATACTTGTGAACATGTGGTTGTTCTTAATTATACACGTTGGCTCTTAAGAAATGCAATCAGGGACTAGGAAAAGGCTGTAATGACAACAAAGCACACTAACCTTTACATCTTTGTAGAGGTGGACAGGCTCATAATCGATGTTGTGGCTCATGAAGAAGTCGTTGACACAAGAAAGGAGGGTCATCTCAGGGAGGGAGAAGATGTCCATGAACTGCTTCATTGTGTGGCCATGTATGCTCTGCAGGACAGAGACAATCATGTACATACTGGTATTATGCTGTATAATTTTAGCATCCAATTTAAAACAAGTGTGGAAGGGATCATCACCTTGCCATAGAAGTCACTCATTATCTCTAAAGGCACATGGCTGCCCTCATACATGGCAATTACTTCCTCATCAGGAACCGGATGAAGACCTCTGCATCACAAACAGAAAATACTCCAAATTATTAGTTCATGACAACACTTGTAGGGGGTTATTTTGCAGCAGATGCAGCCCATGCAACTGGAGTACACATTTTAACACAAAAATCTTTGTACTTAAACACCTGTACACAGTTCCCAACTGGATATAGTGAAAAGCATCTATCTTCATCAGCAGCGCCTATTGCAAACCATAAAAATCTTTGATGAGTCGGTATTGGGTTTACACTACAGCTTCAGCAACGTATCCAACACAAACAAAAAAACAAGAAAAGCTTTCTCACCTTCTGGACGTCATAATGAAGTCCCCTTACAGCAAAATCTGGAATATACTCATATTTTTGAAGACCCTCTGGATACTAACAACAAAACAGCATCAGTGAGTAGTTTGAAGCTTTTCCCTGAGAACATGACAACAGTTTATTTTTCATAAAACGTCAGATGCTGAGCGCACCCTGTGCTTGGAGATGAGGATGTCTCGTGCGATGTTGAAGATGAGAGTGTGGAGATGGCTGGAATAAAAAGCCAACGTGTAGTCATAGTCGAAGCCGTAGATCTCGATGTCTCGCAGGCTCATCTCGTTGTTGGCAAAAATGGTATCAGGGTCGACAGAGCTGGTGGACATAACTGGGATCAAAAATAAGAAGACAGAATAACACCTGAAGTTCAAGTTCAACTTTCATTTAATCAGTTTCCTTCATAAAAAAAAGAGCATTTTATATCACTCTTGATTAGGCCTGTCACAATAACTAGGCGATTAATTGTCTCAGAAAGTTTTGCGATAAATGATAATATTGTTTGAAATTTGACAATAATTAGTAATTATTGTGGGCAGCAAGGTGGCGCAACTGGTAGAGCTGCTGCCTCTCAGCGAGCAGGTCCTTGGTTCAAACCCCGGTCCAGGGGCCTTTCTGGGTGGAGTTTGCATGTTCTCTCCGTGCATGCATGGGTTTTCTCCGGGTGCTCCGGTTTCCTCCCACAGTCCAAAAACATGCATGTTAGGCTGATTGGTAACTCTAAATTGTCCCTAGGTGTGAGTGAGAGAGTGAATGGTTGTTTGTCTCGTTTGTCTCTATGTGTCCCTGTGATGGACTTGCGACCCGTCCAGGGTGTACCCCGCCCCTCGCACAGTGATTGCTGGACATGGGCACCAGCGACCCCCGTGACCCAAAATGGAATAAACGGGTAAAGATAATGGATGGATGGATGGATGGATGGATGGATAGTAATTATTGTCAAATTTAAGAAGAAACATTTGTTTTGCATGTAATACCTCTATTTGACCACCAGATGGCAGTATAAGGTTGTTTGAACTGAAGGATTCATGATAGTGAGGGAGCGAGCAGCGTGGCGCTAAGAAAAATGGGAGGGAGGCCCCTTGACGTGACATGGGCTGACTCTCTTCAATTCTCAAAATGGCAGATGCTCGCTGTGGTTTGAGCTCTTTAGCATTTGTCACACAAAGCTTTTAATAAAAAAAAATCAGTAAACACGTTTTCATCTTCTTTTTGCAGAGAAAAACAACTTTTAACACAAAAGCACGAGTTTCAACTGTGAATTTTGGAGCTTCGGCAAGACGGAGGTTCCCCCCCACCCCCGAGGTCGGCCTGTTAGCTTAGCTCATAGCTTAGCTTCTCAGCTTAGCTGCTTTTAACGATATAAAAACACAATTTTGGACGGTTAAAATGGATTTTAAAGAGAAAAAAGAAAGGGAGGAGTCAGTGAAGAGCACCAGATTTGAGCCTTTTGTCATCCAGTGTCTTCAGTAGAAAGAGAGACACGAAGAAACGATAAAGCCGATAAATGAAAATGAGGTCGATAATTTTCATTTATCATGTGATTAATTGATTTATTGTTTATCGCAAGAAGCCTACTCTTGATTAGATCCTACGTTGAATCAGTCTCCGGGTGAATTGTACATTTGTTGTTTAGTTCTACTTCTTATTACTTTCAGGAGAATACAAAAAGTTGTTTGTCACCCACCAAAAGGCAGGCGATAATGTTTGTGCCTGGTTGTGTGTGCGTATGCACGTTACGGTCTGGTTAGCAAAATCTAACATAAACAGACATTTGATTGAAACTCTCAGAAAGTAATTTGATGTGCATCCACAACTGATGAACTTTTGATTTTAACCCAATACAAGAAAGCCTCCACAACTAACCAACACAAGAAATGCTGGTAGTAGCTGAGAGTTATTCACAGCTGGTACTCTGAGTGCAACATCTGGCAGGTTCACACGAGACGGTGCATAACATTATGTTACAGTTTTGGCCCAAACTGTTATAACTTATTGTTATTTCTCATCATAACAATGATTTTAGTTTAAAACTGTTGCATGAAAGCGGCGGGTCAGGTGTGTTCCGAGGAATGCTGGACCTTTAATTACATATGGACGTTGATCAGCTGATCAGTCACAAATTACTTATTGCCAGTTTTTAAAAACAACCAGCGTTAGCCACACCTGTGCAAACTAAGATGATTATAAGGCAGCAGAACAGGGTCATTACACCTGACATGTCCTTGTGTCAGTGTACTTTGGCTCATAGGGGGAGAGTTCATGTTAGGGGGGCTTTTTGTTTGGTTCCCTCAACAACAACAAACTTTCAGGACAAAATCAAGAGTGTGATTATATCGAACTGTCCAACACCCAAACAGATGCATGATGGCCAACTTTTCTAGTTTCTGTGTATACTTGAACATCTTTGTATGGTTTAATTGTTATGTGTCAAAAATAAAAAACAAGTTGTAGTGTACTGTATAATGGCTATTAGCTGCTCTGATTAGGGATATTGGATTTTTGGCCAATATCTGATACGTTCAAACTTATTTGGCCGATAACCGATATGTTACATACTTTCCTTTGTCAGAACATATTCTTCTTATTTAGGCTTATTTGCTACAAAAATTGTGTAACAGCTGTAAGAGCTGGTGACATATATTCAGTAACAGCCATATGCATAGCACTTTAACTTATGTTAAATGAAAAGTGTTAAATGTTATTTATTAGCATTGATCACCTGTGATGCTGTCTCACTTGTGGATCGGAGCCTCTGATCATTTTTTTTTCTCAAAGAAGAGCATCAATCCTTAAAACCCTCTCATCAAGTTGTTATTTTATGTAGCTTTTTAAATAATCAGAAGAGGACAGTGATAGTTGCTTCCTCTGAATTGCCCTATTGTTACTTCTGAATCTGGCTTGATGAGGGTTTAAATTAAAACAATGTTTCTTTACTCGTCCATAAAAAACAACAGCACTAATACATCTAAAACTGTCAACAAATCCATAAAACACAACTAATAAAATCAGCTGGCTTTACAAAGACAGCCTTTGACACAAGTATTCACAGATGTTTTGAGGCATGGCCTCATATTGACAGCTGGATTCATTGTGGCCATCACAATTTAAGCTCGGCTCTTTTGAGGGGTGCTCAAGAACCCCTAAATTTTAACACAGCGCCCCCACCCCTGAAAAAAGTTATTCTTTTGTTTGTTTTTTTAGGCGGTTCTGGGTTTGGGTTGTTTATTGCATTTATGATTCAATGCAACAAAATAAACAAATTTAAAAGGTAACAGATCATTGTAATGCTTGGTTTATTTACATAATGACTTTAATTAGGGATGCACAATATTATCGGCATGGTAACGGTCGATATTGACGTTAAAGTTAAATATCGGACATTCCATCAAAATAACTCACCGATATAAAAGGCACTGTTTTTGTACGACGACCCAATGACAGTTTGACATGAAACATAATCCAAATTGAAGTGCTACATCATTTTCAGTCACCTTTTTGGCATTTGGTAGCTGGTCAAACTGACAACAACCATGCTGAATAATATATTTTAATTCCACAGCAGAGAAAGCTATGTAGTTTCTGTAAGTAGGTCTAGGGGAAAAATATCGGTATTGGTATCGGCCAAATAAGTTTTAACATATCGGCATATCGGTCAAAAATCCAATATCGTGCATCCCTAACTTTAATGGCTGGATGTCCGGTGTCCGGCCCCTGAGCTGCTGGCTTTCAGTAACTGTGCCCCCCTGAACAGTTTAGTTGAATAGTCCTGATTTAGAGAGTAGAATGCAGTTTATTCTATTTCCAAAACCTAAACCGAGTCTGGAAAAATGTAGAAGATGGTTAAAGTCCTGCGGACGAGCTCATGATCAGCTGAATACAACAGTGATGACCAGGAAGTACCACATGTTCATCTGTACGAAGGTAACTGCAAGTAAATCTGTCATTTTCTGTAATAATTACATTGTACAGTATACTTAATGGTCAAATTAGAGATTAATGCTTAAAGCTAGGTTTACTTTGTTTTGTGTGTTTTGTATGTAGATATACAGTATGTTGCAACTTCTGGTTGCATACGTTTAATCTTTATTTGTTATTATCAGTTAACACTAAACTGATTTTGTACAAAGTGATTATTATTAGGCAGGTAAAGCAAAACGATACGTCTGTAGCATCTTAGCTAGCATGTCTGTATTGCACGCCGCTGGCTTAGCGCTACTTCTTGTTGTGTCGAGTGTTTACTTATGGAGGTAAACGTAGATGTTTATCAACCCATTAAAATAAACCAGAATGCAGGAAATGGCATCTACTTTATTTAAAAAAAAAAAAATAAATCTCAGGGAGGACAGGACAACCCCCCCCCCCCCCACACCCACATACACCCCC